CCCTTGGAGTGGTCTGTTTCATGCAAAATGCGCACCTGTGGCCTCACCATATCAATATGAACGATATTGGATAATACCGCATCGTGTTGGGGAATTATATCAATATATAGCCCAGCCCTATTTGAGATTATTTTAAATGATTAGCTTTGGATAAATGCATTACGCTGACTGACAAAGCATGATCAAATGTCCTACATTATAACAGTCATCTAAATTAAAAATATGAATAGATTACAGAACAAACAGGGTCGGTGTAATTGGGTTTGTCAAAAAAAAAATAAAAAAGTAAAATCTTTACAAAGCAAATCCTAGATGTCTACACTTATTCATATTAAAACATTTTGGATGCTTAAAAGTAACTAAATTATCAATTGTAGAGTGTAGGAAATAAATGTGGGTCGTTGATCATGTTGATGAGTTTATAGTCTGTAGAAATTTGTGCATAACTCTACATCGGTCTCTCTTTTAATAGGATTACATTGCCGTGAAGGAGAAATACGCCAAATACCTCCCTCATTCCAGCGGCAGATACGCAGCCAAGCGTTTCCGTAAGGCTCAGTGTCCCATTGTGGAGCGCGTCACTAACTCCATGATGATGCACGGACGCAACAACGGCAAGAAACTGCTGACCGTTCGCATCGTCAAGCACGCTTTTGAGATCATCCACCTGCTCACTGGCGAGGTAAGAGATTTACTGTGGTAGAGTTTACATAATTGATGCTGTGTATAATGGCGTTATAAATGTTTTGTGGATTGAAAGTTTTGGAACTTTTTTTCTGTAATGTTTTATATCTTAACCATTTGTTTTTCCCTTTCAGAATCCTCTGCAGATTCTGGTAAACGCCATCATCAACAGTGGCCCTCGTGAGGACTCCACCCGTATCGGACGTGCTGGAACCGTGAGGAGACAGGCTGTTGATGTGTCCCCCCTGCGCAGAGTCAACCAGGTGCAATATTTATTTGATTATTTTTCTTTTTCTAAATCTTGTAGTGTTCTTTAGCACTGTAAAAATGCAGCGTTCCACACAATTAATTGATGTTTTCACAATACAAATCAATTATCTTAACTATTAATATTAAATGGGTTTCCCAGTGTTGGGTTGCACCTTAAAGGGCGTCCGCTGCGTAAAACATATGCTAGATCAGTTGGCAGCTCATTCTGATGTGGCGACCCCTGATTAATAAAGGGACTAAGCCGAGAAGAAAATGAATGAATAATAAATGCCTTGAACATAAAACAATTAAGTTGTCTAAAAAAGCTCAAGAATAGTTTCAGCTTGTTTTAAATCATTTGAACAAGCAGGATTTTTTCTTGAATGAAGTGGAGGTTTAAATAAAGAGACAAAAAAGGTTTAAATAGCTAAAGTTTAATATTCCAAATCTTATGTTAGGTGTACTAGTTCTACATTTACTGTAAGATCTGAATGTGTTATTCAAAAGCATTGTAAACCTAAATTCATTGTGTTGACCATTGGTGGCTGTGTTTTTCTTTTATTTATTTAGGAGTTACTGTGTTTTGGGGAAATGCAGCAGTAAAGTAATTTTCATTAAAGGGTTTTTGTTTGCAAATTTTTGTTACATTGTGAATTTGGAGGCTTTTGGTAACCTAGCAAAAAGTAGTTAAGCAATTTTATTAAAGTCAGCCTAAGAAAATATACTACTCAGAGGAGTTGTGTCTGTTACTGCGCCAGACAAACAAGCAAAGCTAAATTTTTAATTAGCAAAAAAAATTAGCTTTCAAGTGGTTTAAAGCTGTTTGAAGAAACCAATTTCAACTTTTCAGTATTTGGTCACTTTAAAATGTTCCCTCAACGAGGATTGTGTTAACTTACATGAACTAAGATTGAGCAATACTTGTATAGCATTTATTATTCATTGTTCAACATTTTCTGATGCATTATTACAATTTAATGTTGTGTTTGTCAAATGCACTGAGGTAACAAGAACTACTGACGGTTATTAATTAATGTTAATAAAGATGAATAAATGCTGTCATGTATATTTCATTGTTTATGTTAGTAAGTGGGCATGGGACAATAACTGCTCTTGGGTATACAGCCATTTGGGAAAGTCAAGGTTTTAAAACCGCCAATATTTTCGGCTATATCGTCCCTATGGTAAATATAAGACTTATTTACTTTTTTTAGGACTACAGTATCTCTAGTAAAAAAGATGCCAAAAATGCTTTTAAAATTGTAAAGAAATCTGTGTTTTAAAAACTAATGAAGACAGAAGCAGAAGTCAATAAATAATTTGAATGATTTTGCTTGACATGTTTAGTGTTCCCAAGTATTTTAAATGTTTTCAAAAGAAAATATATTGTGTTCAAAGGTGAAAAAAAAGTTTAGTTTTTTACCCAGACATTTAAAAAAAAAAAAAATTTAGAGCAATAATCGCAATACTGCGAAACCATGATCTTTTTATCCAAGGTTATCATACCGTCAGAATCATATACTGGCCCTTGCCTAGTAGTAAGTACATTGAATCTAATTGTAAAATATTACTAAGTGGTTTACATTTTTCGATTAAGTGTTTGCTTAGAATAATGGAAAGTTGGAATTGTAGAAGCCTATAAACTTGCAACTGCATAAAAGTGCTGATTTCTGAGAAAGTCATCAAAATGTACTTGCATTATAAATTTTGGGAGCATATGAAATCAAAACCTACCAAAAAAACAACAACACTGTCATATGTGACATGCAGACTGTCAGTTGTTTGCAATTCTGACTTGTTGTTCTATATTGTGAGGAACAAGTCAAATCTGTGAGTAAGTGGTGAATCACAGTTAAAAATTTCCCCCTGACAGAAACAAGTTTAGTGTGAAAGAGGTGGCTTATTGTGTGTTGTGTTTTCAGGCCATCTGGCTGCTCTGCACTGGTGCAAGAGAAGCTGCTTTCAGGAACATCAAGACCATCGCAGAGTGTCTTGCTGACGAGCTCATCAACGCTGCCAAGGTGAGAGAGAGATCATCTGATTGGAGCTTTTCACTCTTAACACATTTATTCATTTATTTATTTATTTGGTTTCTGTTGTAACGTTCTCTCTGTTTATTGCAGGGTTCCTCCAACTCTTACGCCATCAAGAAGAAAGATGAGCTGGAGAGAGTGGCCAAGTCTAACCGCTAATCTCCATTTTGTATAAAATCGGATTACATTAAAAGAGGAAGAGTTAAACCTATTTCTGTCTTCTGGTTTTTATTGTAATTAAGGCAGTGCTTATGTGAGTTACTGTAGATCAACATAAGGTTTATTTCAGAAGATCCTAAGTGCTATGAAGTGTTTAACTGCAGGGTTAAAGTTCATCCAAAACTCAATATTGTTATTTGCTTATCCACCTGTCGTAAACCTGTTTGAGCTTTTTTTTCCTCTGCTGAACACACAAGGTGCTTCGAGAAATGCTAAAAACTTGTAACCAATGGCTTTTCTAGTTTTTTCTACTTAAGTCAATGGTTAGTTATCTTAGTTTTAAAAATGGCTTATTTTATGCACAAAAGAAACTCATTAGGTTTTAAACCACTTTAGGGTGACTAAATGAAGCATAAACTCCTTGTAGGTTAATCAGCTGCTAGCATAAAACCGGTTCCCTCGATAAAATCCTGATAAATTTTCCCATATAGGCTTTTCCAAGAAGCTCTGTGTCCCATCATTGGTTATTACACTTGCACGTTTTGTTCAGCCGGATAATCCTAACGAAAATACAACTTTTAGCACTTTTGTATCTTTAATACAAATGCAAGAACTGAAAGGCTAACAGTAGGATATAAACGGACTACAGTTCCTTCAGGACGTTGCCTGTGACATCAGCACTAACCGGCTACAGATTTACTTGTCAAACATATTTTTTAGAAATATGGTCTATGTCAAAGATTTAATTGGGGTTTATTATATTAAAATACACTATGTTATAAACAAATAAATACGCAAAAACGAATCTGTATAGACCTACGTGCCTCAATACTATCTAAAGAGACTTGCTGCACTGGTAAGCTGCATCTTCATACAATCATTTAATAAATAAAAAAAATGATCATCAAATTAAACTACCTTGACGGTCTTTACAAGTGAAGGTATTATGTACACACATTATGATGTCACAATTAGAAATGCTACAAACTATAAAACACTATTCATGAAAATGCTTAAATAACCGACAAATCCAAATGCTCAATGCAATAACCGATTTAAATACATCAAGAGTGTGATGTAACTGTGTTTTATGTCGTAAAATAAAACATGAAAGTATCGAGTTTGTGTTTGCCACAAACCTTATTTAAGCCTTTTAACCGAAATCCCATTCAAAAACCCATTGATTTTGGGACGAGGGATGTGAAACTGCTAAAATGCTAACTTCTGTGTTATTGCATACAAATTATTGTCATAGTTCCTGTGCTCTATTCATGGTTCTCAAACTCAATTCCTGGAGGGCTGCAGCTCTGCACAATTTTGCTCCAACTCTGATCAAGCACAACTGATCCAAAGCGTCTCAAACACCTTGATTGTTTGGATCAGCTGTGTTTGATTAGGGTTGGAGCGAAATTGCAAGGCTGCCGCCCTTCAGGATTCGAGTTTGAGACGCATGCATTAATTTAATATTCACTGAATGCTGTGCAGTACATTTTTAGCTGTCGTGTTATCCAAATATGGCAGCATGAAGCCTGGATATGTTTTTCTTTTTTAAATGTTACTGCTTATATGCTTTTTCTGGCATGAGAAAATCCAGCAAGTAGTTAACAATTTTTTTTTCCTGAAACCTGTCACAAGACCCCAAGTCATTTGACGTTCCATCCTCTGCCCGGCACGTCTCTCATTAGCCAAACATTTTTTTTCAAATTAAATTACTGCTGCTCTTCTAGTCTTGCCAGGTGACCGATTTTACGCTTATTAATCATGAAACCTTTTATAACACGCACAAAGGTAAGCCAGCCTTTTTTAAATGTCTATAATAAATATAACTTGTTCCTCTCTGCATTATTTAATAAAACAGTAATTGGACATTCAGAAACCTAAGCCAATGGATTTTGTCCTCGGAGTAGTAGCAATAAACTGCTGAAGCCTGACTTTGATTATGGTTCAGGGTGGAGACATTTTGATGTTTATTAGGAAGGGTTAGAGGAACCGATGATGAGCTACACCTTACATCTGACCTGAAGACAAGACCGCTCGTGATCGGATGTGCAAATCGGAGTATTCTGACATTGTAAATTGTTTTAGACCAAGAAACACAATAGAAAATGGCTTATGTTTTGAGATGCATTCTCTTCCTTTATCTTCTACCATCAGTGGGTAAGTAAAACAACAACAAAAAGGACAACATTGTCATTGTATTTTTTTGTTATAGAAGTTTTTCTTGTACAAATTGAGTATGAAATATAAGTGAAGTGCAATTCAGGAAAATTCCCAGTTATGTATGCACAAATGTGCATAGATATGAGATGTTTGTGAAGTCAAAAGTATAATGAATGCAGAAAATTACAATTGGGTGTTTAAAAATAGGGTTATTCCACAAAATAACTTCAATGGTATTTGTCTCAAAATTAACTATTAGTATGTGAATAAAAATAAACCTTTTTGGTATTTCAATCAATTGTCACTTTATGCCTTAAATAATTTTTTTTTTTTATGTAAAACAAATTGCAAGATCCTGTGGAAAAATTAATTTATTTTTTATTGTTACTGTTGTCTCTTTTCATTAATTATTTTTGTTAACATTTCTTAAGGGGATGCATTAAACAAACCTCTAAGTGTGATACACCTTGCATACTTATGAAGCATTTTACAGAAGTAGATAAAGCTAATAGAAATGTGAACACCTGATTGTCTAAAACTAACTTGAGCTTTGCAGCTAAACTTCCCGCGAACAGAGATGGGTTGAAACTGAACAGAATATTTGCAGTTGAGAGGTCTTATGCTTTAATGTTGTGCAGAGAATTCGAAGAAAGAGGATGTTTTTTTTCTTCACTCTCCTATTGGTGAAGTTTTTTTCCCCTCTCTGCTGTCGCCACTGGCTTGCATGGTTCAGGATCTGAAAAGCTACTCTTCAATGAATTTGCTCTTCAGTGTTTGGACTCTCAATAATGACTTCAAACCACACTGAACTGAGCTAAACTGAACTGAACTTAAACACTAAACTGAACTACCCTGATCCAGTTACTATAACCATTTATGGGAGGCTGCTTTGACACAATCTACATTGTAAAAGCGCTACAAATAAAGTTGAATTGAATTGATGTATGTATGTATGGGTGTGGCCAATGGAGCACTGGAGAATGATTGACAAGTGACTATTTCCACCAAGCTCCACCTGTTAATATCAGCTGTGTATAAATTTGAATCAGGAAATGCAGGGGGGTTGCATATAAATAAATTACTATTTTGACGTTAAAGAAAACCCTCTGCTCACCTTGTTTTTAGAAGATGCATAAAATTGATTATATATTCCAACAAATCAAAAGTCAAATTCAGAATTTTGTAATGTCATTTTTTTTTCATATGTACATAACCTTTATTAGCTAATGAAATTTTGATTTAATGTGTTTATAGTATGTGTGTGCATATATTTTATTATTTACTTTCTATATTTATGTATATGTTCTGTTATTCTGCCCCTTACAGTTCCTCTATTGTGTTATACCTGTGTTTTTCCTTCAATCTCACCACTGGACTGCCTCAAGTTCCCCACTAAATGTTCACTGGGCCAAGTCTGTCTCTCCAGCAAAGCTGTTGCCCGGCGAGGTGTGTAAATATCCTTAATACCTTTAAAACCTTGACCAATGATTGTCATATTCCTGGCTTTTTGTTTTTTAAAGCAGTCAAATCTTTAAGTTCATGTGATCATGAGGAGTTGAAGAGTAGTTTTATTATGTATTGTATTATATTCTTAAGATGTCACTGTATACACAAAAAAAAAAATCGTATTTTGTGATTCAGATTTTTCCTTTTATTTGCACATTTGAATTGCATTATGGGACTTTTATCTCTGCTCAGTCGACTTTTGATGTTGAAAATTGAATGTGCAATTTAACGGTAACTTTTATTGACATTTTAGTAGTTTAAACAATATATTGTATTATATATAGAGTACTGAGATGGTAAAATAACAGGGAAAAGTACTGGCTGTTTGTTGCCTGGTTTTTGTACCATAATTTGCAATACCAACTCGGACAATATATCACATAAATCACAAAAGTATCTTTTTCTAACTTTTCAACACTGAAAGTTTTAGGAGGAAAGGTCAAGGTACAATTATGCTATTCTAAAGCACAAATACATAAACATTAATGACAAAACATGAATAACAAAATATATATTTTTAATGTTCAAGTTTTTTTAATGTAAAGAGATACCCCAGCAAGCATTTTTTTTTGTTTAAAAAGATGTCTAAACATTATCTTGGCTAAAACAAAGCACAATTTGGGCTGTCAGTGAAAATCTAATAGACGTCTATTAGATTTTCACTGACAGCCCATGTTTAGCCAATCTGTCTACATTTAGATGTCCAGTTGATGTCTATTAACAATATTGTTTGCTGTGACAATTTACAGTAGCTGTTCGACTTTTGTTTACTGCAATTTCTCCAAATTAAATTCACTAATCAGGGTAAGAAAGCTAAAAACAATTCCTCATGATAATACCAGAGCAACACATCACTTTACATGATACATTATACTCAATCCTTTTAGACCAAAAGCCAACAAATGTACATTTTTGATTATTTATGTCATTGTCTTCACAATGAATATATGTTTAACAATGTTAAAGTTGTCATTGAAAGAAAGAAATATTATTAAAGAAGTGTATTCAACTAGAGTTTTAAAGGTTTTGACACATTAAAATATGTCGCTAAGAAATAATTACATTTGATTTTTATCTTTTTTTGTACAAACCGACCAGGCCATTAAAAATGATCAGTAGTGTTTACACTTTATAACTCTGAAAAATTAAATTCAGAATAGTCTTAAAAGACTCCAAGGCCCCGTTTACACTAATATGTTTTAGCTTTAAAACGACGTTTTTGAATGAAAATGGTCTGTCCACACTGGCATTTTAGTTAGCGTTTCTGAACAACTCCCTGTCCACACCATACCGCTGAAAACGCATCACATGATCGCACTGTAGTGTATGGGCACTTCTGAGCTCCAAGCAGTCAGTGGGTACTTTTAAGATCATCTCACCAGATGAGAGCTGTGCACGTCCGACTGTTCATCAAGGATCTACCGCTGGATCTAATCTTACCATAGTTGTTAAATGCAGTTCCTTATATCATTTCTTTACATTTTTATTTTATTGTTAAGTTAGTGAAACAACGTAGGGTAATGCGAATGAGGTTATAAAGTACACTGTAATATTTGAAGATTTACCTGAAATGTCCTCGGGAGTTTCTTTTTCATATCAAACTTGCAAAGTCTGAATTTACAGGGAGAAGATGCAAGACTGAACTGTTTGTAGGCTACTTAATATTGATGAAAAAGCCTCAATCAGACAGGCCGATGTTTTTAGCCATGCCTCCAGTTTCAGATGTCTCACTTTTCCTCCATCCACACTAACACAGAGCAGCAACGTTTTAAAATGAAAACAGACACTTCAGCGTTTTCAAAAAGCTTAGTTTTAGGAGCTCGAAAACTCCAGTGTAATGTAAACGGAGGGCGTAACTAGCAAAATTTATGCATTTTTGCATTTTGTAAACAGGCCTTAGAAAGCTTTAAAAAGTCTTACATTTGACTTTATTAAACCTGCAGAAACCCTGCTTTTTCACTAAACAGTACATTGATAATCCTTTATTACACTGCTAACAATTTCCTGTAGAATCTACAGTAACTTACTAGCAGCAGTTCACTAGTAACTTACTGTAAATTAATTACAGCAAGAATACCATTACAGCACCATTTATCTTGCTGTATATGCATTTACAGTATTGTATATCTTCACTGTAAAATATACAGTACACTGTAAAAAGTGAAAACTGAAACAAATTACTTTGACTTGTTACAATTAAATGAATTAAGTTTGAAAAACCTAATTCACGACAATCTTCAGTAGTAAATTAAGTTAGTTCTTTTAGGTGTAACAAGTAATTTATCTTTAATAGCGGACAATATATTTGCACTTGCCACAAAACATAAAAGTATTATTATTAATGTATTAATGTGAGAAGGAAATTGTGTACTGTAATAAAAGTACTATTACTATTATTATTATATTACCATGGGAAATGATTTGTACTGTGTGTACTGTTCTGTTCTTGTTCTCTTAAATAAAGTATTAAAACATGCTACACCTAAAAGAACTAGCTTAATGTATTAGTGAAGGTCAAACTTCATTCATTTAATTGTAACAAGTGGAAGTAATTTGTTTGTTTTCACTTTTTACAGTGTAATTTTCACAATGCAACTTTAAAATCCAGTAGCTTACTGCATTACTGTCCTACAGTAAAATACATATTAGTTAAATACTGTGTCATTTACAAAACAACAGTGTACAGCAGGTAAAAGTGTACTTCTGGTGCAAATTATTATCAATTAATAAAAAGTTTGACTTGAACAATGTTCTTTATATTGTTTATCTATTTATTTCTTTTTTTTCAAACAGGGGATTTGGAGATACATTTTTATGAAAAGAGTTGTGCTCTTCCAGCTCTGTGTGGATTAACAGGAGAGAAGTTCATCCAGGGCTTAAACTTCACCTTTCGCAGTGACTGCTGTGATACTCTACTGTGCAACCACAGCACAGCTAATTCTGCGTTCGTCTGGCCCAGCATTCTGCTCTCACTGCTTTTCACATTGTTTTATTCACAGTAAGCATGATTAAAGGACTCAAATTGAAAATAAACAAGGCGGAATTAACAACCACAAAACCTTTGGGGGGAAATGTTAATTAAAATAAGACTGCTTTGTAGGCTAAATTAATCAGTGCATTCATATTCTGCTGAGAGATTAAAGGGACAGTTTACCCCAAAATAAATAAATAAATAAAATAATCATTCTCAAGTGGTTCCAAACCACTCTTTTTTGTTGAACACACACACACAAATATTTTTTTTTAAAATGATGAAAAACTGTAACCCTTTTACTTTTTTAGTAGGAAAGTCATGGAAGTCAATGACTAACATTTTTTTCAAACTCTCTTCTTTTATTAACAAAAGAAAGATACTTAAAATTTTAATCAAGTAAACAAGTATTGGGTGAACTATTCCTTTAAGAGAATACAAGAACGCGCATGTATCTTTATTTCAAGTTTCTAACAAGACTGTTTCTATCAGCATTGCTTTCTTTATATATGGATAAATTTAACTGAAAATAAAAACATTTTGGTGTGTCTAATCTCGTTTGCTTTAGAAGTTATTGCATTTTTGGGGAGGGGATAAAAATATATTCACATATAACCTAATATACACTTAGTTAATATTGTTGAAAATAATAAATGCACATATATTTATGTATAGACCATTTCAATAGTGGTCCATGAACAGTTTCTGCGTGTCTTAAAACTTTTTAAGAACTGTAACAAGAGGTAATTCAGTCATAACTAGGCCCACATGGAATCTGCGCGCGCAGAATTCCGCAGATTTTCCGCATATTTTCCGCATATTTTCCACAGAATTCCGCAGATTTCTGCAGATTTTTAGCCCATTATTAATTCTGTTTATTTACTTGAGTAAATGTGTAAATCTGAACTTATTCAGTTTTTATTCAGCAATTTATTAATTTATACCTGCTGGATAGAGGTAATTCATCTCTCTTTATTACTGTTTACCATGATAAATATAGTTTAAGTCAGGAACAAATATAATATATATATATATGAATAAAAAGTATTTCATGCCAAAATTTTCTAAAATGGGCTGGTGGTTGATTTCTGTAAGTTGCTCTGTGAATCTTTTTTTATTTAATATATTAAGGTGTAAGTTATGATACTCCGCTGGATACTCCCAAAATAATTCCGCAGAAGTCCGCAGATTTTTACCAAAATTCTCCGCAGAAATAGCAAAAAACGTCCGCAGATTCCGTCTGGCCCTGGTCATAACTAGGCCCACATGGAATCTGCGCATGCAGAATTCCGCAGATTTTCCGCATATTTTCCACAGAATTCCGCAGAATTAGCCCATCTTTGATTCTATTTATTTACTTGTGTATATGTGTGTAAATGTATATTTATTCAGTTTTTATATTAATTTCAGTAATTATTGACTAAACAGTTCACATGATTTATTCACAATACAGTTTGTAAAGTAATATTTTCTGTCTTTTAGTAGATATATGAGAGACTTGCTTTATTTACCAAATAAAGTGGATCTAATTGGATTTGCATTGTAAACATTAAATAAAAGTTTAAAAGGTATTGTTTTTTAATTTTTGTATATTAAGGTTTTTAGTTATGATACTCCCAAAATCATTCCGCATAAATCCACAGATTTTTTAACACAATTCTGCGCAGAAATAGCAGAAAATGTCCGCAGATTTCGTCTGGCCCTAGTCATAACTAATGTTAACACTGCTGTCATTATAAAAAGTATCAACATGTGGAACTTTCTGGATTCTCAGAAGCTTTGGAAATGAAAGATCTAAAACAGGAAATACAGGAACATAATTGTTTAGATCCCTCACATGGTGCTCATTCTAAATATATATATATATATATATATTAATATAAATATATATAATACATAGAACGTAAATCCTTGTTGGAAACATGGGCTTTATATTTGTTTATTTTTATCTGTTTAAATAAATAAATATATATATATATATATATATATATATATATATATATATATATATATATATATATATATATATATATATATATTTGTTTGTTTTTTTACAATTAACCATATGTCTGCCCTTTTGTATACAATTTAAGCGATACAAAATTAGAACAAAATCATTGTATTATTTATCATATTTTTCCTTATTCCTTATTAATTAATTACTTTTTTGTTTATTTGTTCAATTGCGGGTGTGGTTGATACTTGTTTTATACCTGACGTAAATGAGTAGGATTCGCGCCATTTCACGCACTTGTGGGTGAATAACACAACGGAACAAAAACAACCAATATTCATAACGAGTTGCAAAAAACTCAACTTAACACGCCTCGGAAAATTCCCCTCGTATTTTTGTGAAAGCTAGTTGTGTTTTATATCTAAATGTACCGTGTAGCTGACGACAATATTTTACCACAGCCAGAAAGCAGATCCCCAAGTGTTATGAATGAAGACGAGGATGATGGGAGAAACCGTGAGGTAAATTCTAGTTTGTGTTGGTAAGCTATCACGTATGAAGATCTTATCCTTTTAATTTTGCTTGTGATGAACACTTACGAGGTCTTTGTGTGTAATTTTAGATTATCTTGAGTGTACTTTTAAAGCAGGGCAATATAGGATTGAGTTACTATGACAGTCGTGATTATACACTGCATTACATGCCGGACACTGTGGAAAACAGCGACCTCTACCTGCTGGATAGAGGTAATTCATCTCTTTATTACTGTTTACCATGATAAATAGTTTAAGTCAGGAATGAACCAAATAAGGCCTTCTCTAGAATATATATATATATATATATATATATATATATATATATATATATATATATATATATATATATATATATATATATGAATAAAAAGTATTTCATAACAAAAATTTCTTAAATGTGCTGGTGGTTGATTTCTGTGAGTTGTTCTGTAAATGTTGTTCATTTGGTTCTCAGATGTTTGTTTATTAGAAACAGTTGAAACAGTTTACAAATGTACAAACCCTGTCATTGTCATTTTCCTAAGCCCGATTGAACCCACAGCTAAAAACTGTTATTCAGGGAAGAAAAACACAAAAATAGCAAGTTTAAAGTTGTTATCATTCACATCAATCATTTAAAAACATGACACCATAAACAAATAATCCAAATAAATACTATTTTACAATTGTCCCCTTGTTTCTGTTAGTCCTGTCACGTTTGCATTAAATTTAACATAAAATGTGTGGAATACACTACATGCTATGACATCAAATGATGGAGTTTGACAGTGATCAAGGATGCATTTTATCATTGAACTGTATGGTTTTATGCTTGTTTTGATGATTTTTTAAGGATGACAAACTTAAGTCAGGCCCTGTCACATTTTTTGTAAGTGAGAATTTACGTTTCCGGTAGACTGTCCCACATACTGTACAGTTGAAGTCAGAATTATTAGCCCCCCTTTGAATTTGTTTTCTTTTTAAAAATATTTTCCAAATGATGTTTAACAGAGCAAGCAAATGTTCACAGTGTGTATGATAATATTTTTTTCTTCTGGAGAAAGTCTTATTTGATTTCTTTCGGCAAGAATAAAATCAGTTTTTAATTTCTTAGACACCATTTTAACGTAAAAATTATTAGCCCCTTTAAGCTATTTTTTCCCGATAGTCTACAGAACAAACCATTGTTATACAATAACTTGCCTTGTTACCCTAACCTGCCTAGTTAACCTAATTAACCTAGTTAAGCCTTTAAATGTTACTTTAAGCTGTATAGAAGTGTCTTGAAAAATATCTTGTCAAATGTAATTTACTGTCATTATGGCATAGATAAAATAAATCAGTTATTAGAGATGAGGTATTAAAACTATTATGTTTAGAAATGTGTTGAAAAAAATCTTCTCTCCGTTAAATAGAAAATGGGGAAAAAAATAAACAGGATGGCTAATAATTCTGACTTCAACTGTATAATAATATTAACTAAATATTAATAGTAGAAAAAATATATGTGAAAAAACTGTGCACATTTAACAGTCAACACTTCAGGATAAAACAGTAATAACAGGGCTTATACGGTCATGGAAAACCTGGAAAAGTCATGTAAATGTGACATGGTATTTTCCAGGCCTGCGAAAGTTTTGGAAAGGTCATTTAAATTAGTTTACCAAATATCTGTAAACTTGAATATAGGTTAGTTGTCTTTACTTCTGTTCTGTCTTTGGCCAAAAACATGGTCTCACTTTATAAATGCTGCATAAGCATTGATTCATTTTCCTTCGTATTAGTCTCAATTTCAGAGGTGCCACAGCAGGAATGAACTGCCATGTGTAAACATTATCTGAATAAATTTTACATACAATATATAATATTTAAAATAAATTCAAGCTAAATAGATTTGTTTTGTGTTTTATGATATGTGTAATGAATTTGAACGTGCATTGTTTTTGCTGGTGAGGCAGTGGCACAGTAGGTAGTGCTGTCGCCTCACAGCAAGAAGGTTCCCAGAGATGGGTTGCGGCTGTAAGGGCATCCGCTGTGTAAAAACATGCTGGATAAGTTGGCGGTTCATTCCGCTGTGGCGACCCCAGATTATTAAAGGGACCAAGCCAACAAGAAAATGAATGAATGAATTGTTTTTCGTATTATTTTTGATGTATATATATATATATATATATATATATATATATATATATATATATATATATATATATATATATATATACATACATTCCATGTAACATTAGGTCGTGAAAATGTACTTTAAAGTCCTGGAAAAGAGTTTTTGTAGTAAAAATGTGTATGAACCTTGTTATAATAGTGACAGGCATTAATTTAGTGTGCTGCTAGAAGAATACAATCAGTTTTTTCCTCTAAACGTTGGTTTTACTCTGTTTAAGTCTCTCTCTCTCTCTCTCTCTCTCTCTCTCTCTCTCTATCTCTCTCCCTCTCTCCCTCTCTCCCTCCCTCTCCATTTTTTCACCTACTTGTTTACCTGCACTGGTTGTATCTGCCAGGATTGGGGATGCACTTGGTAGAATAATGCTTTCACAGTTGTTGTTTTTTTTCAGTCATACAGGAGCTGAGTCCAACAGTCATAATATCAAGTGCCAAACAAGAGCAATGCTTGGCCCGGTTTTTGGAAAAGCTTGGTAATTTTTTTCTCTAAATCACGATTTGTATGATATGATGTCTCACCTAATGGGTTTTCACAAAGCTTGAGTAAAAACTGCAACTTTTTGCTAAAATTACCAATTTTGCTTCAATTTCAGAATCAAACTGTGATGAATACAAGCCTGAAATTGTCATTTTTCCAAGTGCAAACTTTGGTAAGTCTGCGCAAATAGCTTAGCTTGGTTTTCTATCACAGTTCAGGCGCATTTATGTTATTATGTGTAAAGGAGATATTTAGCAGAATGTTCATGCTGCCTGTTTTCTCACAGTTAAAGTGAGTTTAAAGTGAGGGCAGTATCTTCTTAGTGGATAAAAAAGTTTTAGGAAATAATGAAGTGTACAGTATATCATTTTAAAGTACATCAAGTTGAAATCAGAAATATTAGCCCCCCCTGTATTATGTTTTCTTCAGTTTCT